CAGGAGCAGGAGCAGGAGCAGCAGACGGAGACGAAGACATAAACAACAACAAATAGATAGTAAAACCTTCAGGAGGACGGCACATTAATGTAGCTACAAAATGGGCGCCAGCTCGTCGACCAGATCCGACACAAGTCTGCACCAGGATGATGATGGTGAGTTTGGCACACGAAATATCCATTGGGATAACGAGCACCGGCTTACCCCGGTACTCTTTAAGAGTATATATATATATATATATATATTCGATTTTTAATTAAACATTGAAAAACCATGTGAGGAATCAATTTTTGAACCGAAAATCCTGATAACTGAGTAGCTCTGGGCTACAAATTCAAAGAAAGTAAAAGTATTTGCAACACAGACGCTCGCAGCGCGACAGAGTTGTGAAGTTGGGAGTCGGCCATGGAGCATCTGGACGAGCTGTGCCTGCAGCAGATATTGGCATATCTCAGGCTCCCCGATCAGCTGGCCATGCTGCAGTGCGATGAGCGCTGCTATTCGCTGCTGGGCAGCCTCTGGCGCCGTCACCTCACCCGGATTGAGCTGAATCTGCTTCAGGTGCCGCTGTGCCTGGAGCACTTTGAGTTTTTGCTGCTCAATACCTGGAAAGAGCTGCGCGTGCTCAGGCTCAACTATGTGGATAAAGAGAAGTTTGAGGTGCTCGTCAGGCACAGATTTCCCAAGCTACAGTTGCTCCAGATTGATGCGCTGCCTCCCTTTTTCCTCTGTCATCAGAAACAGCAACAACTCAGACGGATTATGATTCTCAAGAAATATGAGGATAATGCTGCTGGGGCGTCTGTTGCCCAGCAAACCCAGTTAACCTGGTGATGACTACACAAAAAAAAATAAAAAGTACGCCCACCAAATAGGAGCTTCCAATTTTAGGTGCTTCTCCATTAAGCTTCATTCGTTCGTAGGGACTATCTAAAGTCTAGCTTGTGACCTGAGATTGACTGACTGATTGACTGATTGAGCGATTGACAGCTCCATTTTTAGCTGAGGTTTCCCTATGAGAACAAATGCAGCGTATACTAGGACAAGGCCTTGGCATATTCCTCTCGGCCGCTCATCCGATCTGCTTCAAATTAATTTGCGTAGCTCTAAAAAAAAACAGCTGCCAGGACAAAATGCTTTAATAAAGGACAATAATATAATATTTTTAATTTCAGTTAACTTTGATCATTTTCAAATCCTGCGCGCCATTGGCAAGGGCAGCTTTGGCAAGGTAAGAGACATCCTCTTAGCCCCGCTGGTCAGCTCTAAGTCTGTGCATCCTTGCAGGTGTGCATCGTACAGAAACGGGATAGCGGCATCCTCTATGCCATGAAATATGTTAGCCGCTCAGTATGCGAATCTCGGGGCGCCTTGGGCGGTGTGATCAAGGAGGTGGAGCTGCTATCCTCATTGGAGCATCCATTTCTAGTGAATTTATGGTTCTCTTTTCAAGGTAAGTATACACACACACACACACACCTGCACTCGCACTCGCTCAGACACTTACATATGCAAATGGTTGAGCCACCTGTAGAGCGAGTGTCACCGCCGCTGATTGGCAATCAAAATGCAAATTAACTATGTGCATTTCTTTTGATGTCTGAGCATTCACTTCTATCTTGTTCTTGTTCTTGTTCTTGTTCTTGTTCTTGTATGTGCTCCCAACGCTCAACGCTCATAGATGAGGAGGATTTATTCATGGTCTGCGACCTGTTGACGGGCGGTGATTTAAGATACCATTTACAAAACCGAGTAGGTTGCCGTTTGGTTTGCGACACTTAGCCAACATATGTATTTTGTATTTCTCAAACGCTCGCTTGACAGGTGGAATTCTCCGAGCAGAGTGTGGCCTTATTAGTGTGCGAGCTGGGCAGTGCCCTGGAGTACCTACAAACACAGCGTGTGATCCATAGGGACATTAAGCCCGATAATATTCTATTAGATGATGCAGGTGAGTTCAGCAAATAAGCACACAAACACACACACTCACACACGCACACACACGCACACGTACACAGTCAACAAGAAGTTTGGCAGCCAATTTCAAGTAATTTCTCGGCCAAGTCGGCCCAAAAGCATCCATAATTCATTAAATTGTCCTATGTCCGTGTTCAAAAATTTATTGATTTCATGTGCAAAAAGCAAGCAAAAGTTTTGTGTGAGTGCCCAAGTGAATACTTGAGAGCAGGTTCAAATTATTCATATGTGCCCGCCCTCTTAGGCCTAGCATCCTGCCGCCGCCTGCCACCTGCCGCCTGTCACCTGCTCCTTAACTACTTAACATATATTATTTATTTAGCTACATCGTATTTACATATAGGTTTATGCCTTTGCCAAATAGATAGCTTATTTCTGTATGCATAAAAGCATCTTGTATTATCTGTGTGTGCACTAAACTTTTTTTGGGCAGGTGCAAATTGTAGAATAATTACATTATTGCAATTTTCATGCAATTGTTATCTATTGGCAGACAATTGATTAATTACAGAGAAAGCTTTAGAATTTCAGTTATACGAAACCATTGCTTAAGTGCAGCAAATTGATATTGAGATACGTTTAAGCAGCGTACGGCACTTTAAGCAAGATTAACACTTTAAATAAAGGTGCTTTGCACTTCACAATATTGAAGAAAACATGTTTACGTTCAATATACTTGCGAATTTATTTAATCGTTCCGCTTTGAGATATAAAATGAGGTTCAGATGTGAGCTGTAACATATAAATTTCATTAATTTGTAATGGACATAAAAAGGATTTATTAAATACACACACAATATATTACTGGAAAAGGAGAAACTATTACAAATATCCAATTCAATTAACTTAAAATGTGACACACACTCTTAACAGAGACACACAAACCCACACTCACTGTCAATATTGGTATATGGGTAATTGGAAACCAATTACGTGCGCTTAATTGCAGGACACGCTCATTTGACTGATTTTAATATTGCAACGCGGTTGCAAAAGGACTCCCTCGCCTGCAGCATGTCTGGTACGAAGCCATATATGGCGCCAGAGGTCTTTATGTGCGCCCTGGAAGAAGTTGGTAAGTTGGACGGACGAGGGTTTGACATCTATTCCGGGACAACAAATCAAATTAAACCTAGAACTGCTGCTGTAGCGACAACAACAACAAAAAATAAAAATAAGAGGAAGATGCTTAATTAAATGTTTCCGGTCTTTGGTAATCTAATTTGCAGCTGGATATAGCTATCCAGTGGACTGGTGGTCCCTGGGTGTTGTGGCCTACGAGATGAGGTCGAACACACGGCCATTTGTCCTGCACTCGCACACGCCGCTGGTGGAGATTAAGAACGTGCTGAACACCTCGGTGCACTATCCGCATTACTGGAGTCACGAGTTTATAGATCTGTTGCAAAAGGTGGGTGGCAAAAAACAATCAGCACCAATTATATCTAATTATTTGCATCTCATCTTTAGCTGCTCTGCGTGCATCCTGGTGCACGGATAAGCTCACAACAAGAGCTGCATCAGACGCCGCTGTTGCGGCCCACGGACTTCCAGCTGGTGCTTGAGAAGAGTATAAAGCCCGCATTTAAGCCACCCGAAGATCATCTTAATTGCGATCCCTGCTTGGAGCTGGAGGAAATGATTGTCGAGACGCGACCGTTGCACAAAAAGAAAAAGCGCCTGGCCAAACAGCGTTCGGCGCAACGAGACAGTGATCCCGAAACGGCACTTGTGAAAGAGTTCATTGTGTACAATCGCTTCAAGGAGCTCAAGCGCAAGGCCATGGAAAAAAAGGAGAGTGACTGGCAGCGCGAACTGGAGCTGGCCATGGCCAATTCCATAGTGAACAGTCTAGCGCCCATACAGGAGAAGCCAACATCGTCCCTGGCCACAACAGTTGCGCCCACAGCTACTGCTTTAAATATCTGTGCACGATGCACAAGCTCTCCAACCGCACAAACCAAGGATAGTGATAGTATTGAATTTATAGACCGCACACCATCTCCGCAGGCGGCTCAGATGACGCCTACACCGCGCAGATTCTGCTGCAAAACGACGAGCACTGTACGGGAATAAAGACCCAAATTTATTATTTGATCTCCAATGCACAAACTAGTCCAACTTAATGCCGCAAGGTTTCTCACGTATAGCTTGAATAGAAAAACGAAAATGCCTGCTGTCAATCCAAAAGATACAAAAAGTAATATATATATATATATATATATCTGAGCTACCAAAACCTTCTACAAGGATTTAAACAAATATTTTTCGAGCAAGCGCATATAAGAAAAAAAAGAGAAAAACTTATGTAGTACTTTGTAATTCACATGAAACTAACACCAACGCCGGTTTGCACCTTTGTATGTACATATTATATAGTATTTTATAAGTATTGCGATCGCCTGGCTCCAACTGTACATTTGATGTAATGTATTTCGATATTGATGTACCTATTTTTTAGATGTTAGCCGAAAATCAAAATAAATGGTATTGTCCCCTAGACAAGCGTTAAGAATTTTTATATCATTGATGTACATTTGGCATTGGCTTAAAAAGTTAAAATTCGTTAAATCTTTATTGCACAGCTGACGAAAAAAAATTAGTTAATTACAATAATAAGCTTGGCCAATTCGATTTTTTTGTTTTCCATTTTTATTTCAAGTTATATTTCATTCATGTTTCACATAAGTTTTTATTTGCTTTAATGCGTTTTCTTTGTATAAAAAAGAGTAAATAATTACGGTTTGTATGTATAAATTTTTTGTTTTTCACACATTTGTTGATCTTCATGTTTGTTAAAATATATATAATAATTGTATGGGTGTTGGTGTTGGTATTGGTTGTGTATGTGTGTGTGTGTGTGTGGGGGGGGCAAACACTAACCAAAATTACAATAATAATATGTTATTGTTCGTTTCTATGTTGGTTTCATTCAGCAAAAATGCAACATGTTAATAGTTTGTTAATTCAATTTCTTCAATCCACGTTTTTTTTTTTTTTTTTTTAAATTTTGTATATATATATTTTTTCTTGTTTTTGTGGTTATTTAGAATTCACGAATAATCAACATTTGTTACACTGATCCCCAAGCCATAAACTGTGCGTGCTCCCAACGATAGCAGATCAACTGTTTTCGGGGACGCGCGCACTCAGCTGCTGGTTGGGGCCATGTGTCAAAGGTTGGGAGAAAAATGTATAGAAAATCGTAAAATATGTAACATATTTTTTCGGTCTTGTCGTTGAGAAAGGACAAGTTAGTGAAGTAGGGTTAATAACCTAGCTTGAAATGATGATCCACTTGCAAATGTAGAACGAGTATTCCATAAATATAATTTTTGTTTTTTCATTTCATTTAACGAATTTTTTTTTGTTTTTCTTTTTAGCAAAAACAAATGCAATTGTTTAAAAAAAGCTTCAGATTTTTCTGTTGGAAAAACGAAATTTTTCTGTCGCTTGGTTTGTATGTTGTTAGAAAGAGAGAATGAGAAGAAGAAACTACAAGCTGAAAAATTATGTGAAATTGTGTGGGTATGAGTTTTCCTTTCTTTTTTTTTCTTTTTTTTTTTTTAAGTTTGATTGTATGTGTGTTGTGTGTGAGTTCTTTGTGTTGTTGGAGCTCAATTCAGTTTGTGTTTGTTTTCTTTGTGTTAGTTTTCTGTTGCGTCTAAACAAAATGTTACTCTTTTTCGTTGAACTCCACACGTGGCGCTGGCGGCGGACATCCGCCTTGGCCGTTTTGTGGCAGAACTACCAACATGATCATACTATACTGTGGTTGTGTCCACAGACTCAATACGTGAAGCGGCTCCTTCACCGGCAGCGGCATTGCCGCCCTCGCCATTCACATTAGTATTGCCACCCTCGCCAGCGCTGGTATTGCCACCGGCATTCTTTTTGGCGCCAAAGTTAAGTAACTCTACGTTGACATTAATGGTTTTCGTTTGCACTGGTGCATTCACATTTTCAACTGGCGGCTCTTCTGCGGCTCCAGCAGCTGGTGCTGAGTCGCCACCACCGGTGGTAATGGTCAGCGAGAGATCGTTCAGCGACTTGAGCACCTTGTCAACATCATCCTGGGTGCTTGGAGCGCCGTTACGATTACCAAAGTGCAAGAAACACTTTCCAAAATGACCTGTAAATCATATACTTCAATAATTAAATGAATTCAGCGTGGTGTTATACCAGTTGGCTACGTACCCTTCCATGTAATCGACAATGGATTACATTCGCGCTTACGCAGCTCGGACTTCAGGTCCTTGACGCGAATGTCGCGTGTCAGGTTTGTCAATTTAACACAGAAATCACGATGCGGGCGATTCTTCTTCTTCGGGCGACGTTCACCCGCACCACCCTCATCAAATTTACGATCTTCACTCTTAACACCAACCTCAACTCCAGACTGATCACCCTCAGACTGCAAACAAGAATAGTTAGCAAGGGCTTAAAGGATTCACGAGTTGTTGCTTACCTTGTTTGTGCGTCTGCGACGGTTGATGAAACGACCCTTGCGGCGTGGTGTGCGCTTCTGCGCATTATCCTAAACAAAAGAGAAATTTCCATTGGTTAATTATATATATATTTTTTCAAATATATAAATATATTTTGCAAACATACGCCTTGTTGTTCGTTGTCAGTCTGTGAGGTGGTGCGTCCTGGGTTTCCTCGTTGGAAGCGACGACGCAACGGTCCACGACGGCGTCTACTGTTCTGATGCTGCTCAACATCGGTATCCTCCTCCTTCAGGGTTATCTTCTTACCCGCTTTCTCCAGCTGCTCCTTAAGTTGCTGCAGCACAGGCAAAATCTTCAAGCGACGCTCGGACAAAAGTTCCCAGAAAACACCATTTGGACGCGGCAAACGCTTAGCCACACGTATCACCTCGGTGGGTGTTACAATAATGTCCACTGGCGTATCGTATTTTTGGAACAAGTTAACGGGCAGCGTGTCAACGACCTGCACATCGTGCACAATTGTTACAATGGCCGTTTCCGGCGTTATGACGCCCAGCTCAATGAGCAAGCCAATGTCCAAATCGGCAAAACCGTTGCCACGTCCAATGCGATAGCCATCACGTGATACCACCACCGAACCAATGACAACCAAATCAAGCTTCAAATCGCTATCCAGACCAATTTCCGAACGGAACTTCTGTATATCCTGGACGCGCAATGCTTCTTTTTTTTGCTCATCGGTGGCATCGGCCGGCACATCGACTTTAAGGCAAAGCGCGGGCGAGTCCCGTGTGCTGGGCAAATATACAGATTTATTGGCCAGCATTGACTGTTCCTTAAAGTCATGCAAGGCGCGATCAATGTTCACTTTGATGTGCTCTATAGAACGAAAGCGCATTAAATATATATTGTTAAGCGGGTTTACACATAAGCAGAACATAACCTACGTGCTTTCTTGAACTCCTCCTCCTGAATGAGCAATGCAGCGGCCTTATCGGCATCAACGAACGCAGGAATACGGTTGAATATGCCATTGAAGCCGATTCCAACTTTGCCCTCCTGGATTTTCTTCCAAGTTTGAACGCGCAGCGAGCGCTTTGTCGGCTCTGCGGGCTGAGCTGTTAAAGACACACCCAGTTATTAACTTTTTATTTAGTTAGTTACTTACACAATAATCAAAATATTATGCTAAATCCATATTTATTTCGTATTTACTTAGGTGGTCAACTTCAAGAGAAAACATGTTTGCATACATACTAAGCGTTTATATATTCCAATGAACATACATTCTGTTTTGGCTCAAAAAAAAAAACAATGTTTTACAATATATACGATTTTCCGTTAAAAAACTTGTCAGCTTCAAAAGAAAGTTCACAAGAAACTTAAATAGAATTACGAGAGTTCGGTATATACGAAACTAGCGGGAGTCGAAAAATTCTTCCAAACTTCTAATATGCAAAGGTGGTCAATCTCACAGGTTTTATTGAATCGAAAATTCTAAATTTATATATGCATTGTGTGCCTAAGCATGTTGCTTTCGCTTTTGGGGGAACTAAAAATAAACACAAACAAATGCGGCTGCCGCGTTAGATTAGAAATTGTGGCGACAAGAGAGAGAGAGAGAGAGAAAGAAACACTGAGCGGCGGCTAAGCGAGTGACTGTTACATGGAGAGAGGAGAGTGAGTGCAAGATCTCGCATTACCGGCAACAAAATCATTTTGATTTGTCAGCAGTTGTTTTCTTATCGCTGACCCGTGATTAACGCATGCATGTTATCACGCCAGGTTCATGTCGGACAAAATATTTCTATGTATAACTGATAAACCGGTTTTTACGCCCAGCAAAGATATTTAACGTAGAATAACAAGCCACACACAAACGGAATTAAAGTCAAATGCGACAATTTAACTAAACAAATGTCTTTAAAGAACATTTGGAATTGCCAAACAACTAAAAAAAAATAAGAGTTGCCACCTGACCGAGTTAATATATGCATGAAGAATACATACTTACACATATTAAAATTAAGACAGTAACTAAAAATGCAGAGCAGAGCAAAGCAAACACTTGTGTATGCGTATTCAAACATCTAATAGGCAAAACATTCAAAATATCGATATTGACGTATGACCAATAAGTTGGCAACGCTGCGACAGCTCACACATACACACAAGCGCGCGCTCAGTCCTAAACATACACACACACACACACACAGTCAAATAGCATTTCTCAGCGATGAGCGCATCAAGACGCGCGAATTTTTCAATTAATATGTATGTACATATGTATATGCAAAAGTATAGTTTTGTTGATGCTTGCAGGAAGAGCGAGGGGTCTATGAAAATACATACTTACATACACTTTTAGTTCGACTGACATTAACGCGAGAGCACAGAATGAAAAAAAATAAATAAAAACGCATTCATATGGGCCAAGAGCAACCAAAATGATTCACTGCGTACTATTTGGGAGTTCAACTTAGTAATTGCAGCACTTGTAGCATTTTGAGCATAAAATTGCGCGTACCGATGACGTAATTATTAGGAGAAAACACAAAAATGAATTGTCGAGCAACAAAATAAGTGCTCATATATGTACATATATATGTATGCACGTACATACCCACTATGCACACACATACATACACATTTGTAATTTGTTGTTCTTTCTGCTGTACTTCTTTCAGATTCTTTGCCTGCTTTGCTTTACGTTTTACAGTTTCTAGTAGCGAAATGGCAGACAGTGTGTCAACTCTCATTTACCGCTAGAATCAATCAGGAAAAAAAAATATGAAAGAAATATGGCGGCAATTTGACAACTTTATGTCATTGCTATAACAAAAATGGCTGTACGAAAATGCAGGAGCGCTGCGCGTTTGCCCTTGATCCATTTTTATTGTTTAGAGAAGAAATTCACAATATTGAAATAAATATTCAGCCCGGCAAATAAGTACTTAAGTACATACACATCTATATACTTATATGTAGATGGGAAATGATATGCTCGCCAACAGAAAATTCTTTCCCTCACCCCGTAAACTTACTTGTCGATGATACCTCCGCGGCGGCGGCAGCGGCAACGGGAGCTTCGTTGCTTTGATTTTCCATCGTATTTCGTTTATAAATTGTGTACTTAAACTGTTCTTTTTAGATTTTCTTTTTTTTTAACAATTATTTTTCTTTCACAAATTTACACAAGTTACAGAGCAACGTCTACCTTCTCCGGCTGCTTCCAACAAACCACGTTTCTGGCTCGATGAAATTGTATTATATCGATATCGGTTTGTATCGACGGTCTCTTTTTTTACCACGCGCGAAACAGCCGCTATGGAATTCAGTATATTTTTCAATTGATTTTTAATGTTGAGAAGCAAAAATGCACAAACAATTAAAAATTAAAAAATAACACAATTTTAACCGGAACAATCAATCACTAACATGTATTGCGATGTTATGAGAAACTAATGCAATCCCAATTCAATTCAGGTTGACAATAAAGTCAATGGTTATTTGTTCAATGTGATATAGGATTAATTTCTTACTTCTGATTGTCAAGTTAACGCCATCTTTTTTTGTATAAATCATCCGACCAATGTGTTAAAAAATTTTCTGTCAAGGTCAATAATATATTTCGCGAACAACGATTGGCCGATAATTGGGTATGTAGCTTAAATGTAAATAAAGGTGGTAAGAATAATGACAAATGGCGAAATAAATTAAAAAGGTATTTCGATATCGATAGATTTATGACAAAAAATACTGTTTTGTTTTGTGGTATTTCTTAAAGGTAGTATTTTGTACAACAAAACAAAACATGAAAAAGCGCGAGTTGTGAACAGCGTACAGCGTACATTATGTCACAGCTGTTCTTTACACAACGTGGAGCGGTCGGTCGCTCGAGAAGTTTATTATTTGAATTTCTTCAATTAAAATCCAGACGGTACGCGCTCGATGCAAAACCCGAGGCACTATGCAATATCAACTGGCAGGCGTCTGCTCTGCGCAGTGCGCTTGAGAATCGGCTTTGGTTCTGCAACCGAAGAACGTTGCGTTCATCGTGCTGCAATTCACTTCTCGCGTAATAAAAAACATGAAACGAATGTTTCGGCGCTGTTTAAGCCGGTTCAGATTCAGGCCAATATCGATGACGAGGATGTGGGATCCGAGCTGGTTGGCAAGCTTGAAAAGTCTGAGCTGTTAAAGATTTTAAACAAATTCGCACAACGTCGTGAAATCAAAGCCCTGTGTAGTGAAAATGGGTTGGATTGTAAGTTGTTTTCGATAGTATCAAATTGTTCAATTTTGTCTAATTCCCCCGTCTCCAGCCTACCTACAGCAACAGGCGTTTGGCTCATTTCGTCGTTTCTGCATTGAGGCTGAAAATCTGCCAGCTGATCTGCATATTATTTTCAGCGACATAATGCATGGTGCCGGCCACATAGACGACATCTTCCCCTACTTCTTGCGTCATGCCAAGACTGTTTTTCCTCATCTAGACTGTATGGACGATTTGAAAAAGATATCAGACTTGCGTCAGCCGGCCAATTGGTATAGCAATGCCCGTGCCATTACACGTAAGATCGTATTCCATGCTGGACCCACAAACTCAGGCAAGACATATCATGCAATGGAGAGATATTTGGGTGCCAAGACGGGTGTCTATTGTGGACCACTAAAGCTGCTCGCCACGGAGGTATATAACAAGGCCAATGAGCGTGGCACACCTTGTGATCTTGTTACTGGTGAAGAACGTAAATTTGGCATCAGCGAGAACTCACCAGCAAACCATGTGGCATGCACCGTTGAAATGACCTCTGTGAATACACCTTGTAAGTGAAAACCTTTAATGCCTTAAAGCTAGCTAACATTCGATACATAAATAGATGAGGTGGCGGTTATCGATGAAATACAACAGATACGTGACCCACAGCGTGGCTGGGCTTGGACACGGGCATTTCTAGGACTGATTGCTGATGAGGTACACGTCTGTGGTGAGGCGGGCGCTCTGGAGTTGCTAGAAAAAATTTGCGAAACTACAGGTGAAACGGTCGAAGTGCGTCGCTATGATCGCCTCACGGAGCTAACTGTAGAAAGTTCAGCGCTAGGTTCTCTGGACAATGTTATGCCTGGAGATTGTATTGTTTGCTTTAGTAAACATGATATCTATACGGTTTCGAGAGAAATTGAAGCGCGGTAAGTGTGCATTACATTTTTTACTAATCCATTTGCTTAATATATGAACTGTATTTATAGAGGCAAAGAAGTCGCTGTTATCTATGGTGGACTGCCACCGGGCACGAAACTAGCTCAGGCTGCTAAGTTTAATGATCCAGAGAATAGTTGTAAAGTAATGGTGGCCACTGATGCTATTGGCATGGGCTTAAATCTGTAAGTTTGTTGGATTTGATAAACTTTTTACTGTTATATTAAAGTAAACACTTATAGGAGCATTCGTCGCATTATATTCTACTCGTTGGTCAAACCCACGATGAATGAGCGTGGCGAACGCGAAATCGACACAATTTCTGTGTCTTCAGCTCTCCAAATAGCCGGGCGTGCTGGTCGCTATCGTACTCAATGGGAGCACGGCTATGTAACAGCCTTTAAGGCCGAAGATCTACAAACCCTTCAACGTATACTTAATCAAACGCCGGAGCCTTTGAAGCAGGCAGGCCTTCATCCCACTGCTGATCAGATAGAGCTTTACGCTTACCACCTGCCAAACTCAACGCTAAGCAATCTAATGGATATTTTTGTGAATCTCTGCACTGTAGATGATTCCTTATATTTTATGTGCAATATCGAGGATTTTAAATTTCTTGCCGAGATGATACAGCATGTTCCTCTGCCTCTGCGTGCACGCTATGTATTCTGTTGTGCCCCCATCAACCGTAAGATGCCTTTTGTGTGTTCAATGTTTCTGAAGATAGCTCGGCAATATAGCCGCAACGAACCAATTACATTTGATTTTATCAAAAAAAACTGTGGCTGGCCCTTTAAGCTGCCCAAGACCATACTGGATCTGGTCCATCTGGAATCCGTCTTCGATGTTATGGACTTATATCTATGGTTAAGGTAAGAAGAAGATTCGTACGTTTGTAAGATCTTGTCTAATAATTAAAATTCCTTATAGCTATCGATTTATGGATCTATTTCCCGAGGCCGCAAACGTGCGCGAAGCTCAAAAAGAACTGGATGAGATCATACAACAGGGGGTCTTTCAAATAACTCGGCTGTTGAAAAACACAGAGGCAGGACAGGATGGCGAAATACCAAACTACACAATGCGGCGTGTTACACAAATCAAGGAACCGCGCTTGCCGAGCTCATCCCGTGGGCGCCTAACGGAAAGACTGTTAGCTCAGGGACTACTAACACCTGGCATGCTGAGCGAACTGCGTAAGGAGTGGGATGCACAGCACCATTCACAGCCACAAGCAGCGTCAAGCCTTAAAGACACTCAGGAGTGTTACACAGACAGCGACGATGATGATAATTATACAGCAAACTCAAAAAAGACGCGGCGAAAACGCAGAAAGTAGTAGATGGATATTGTTAAAGTAATATGGAGCCATAAGCCCCAAGTAGCTGTTGTTATGTTATCACTTTATTTTAAGTCACAATTATGTAATATTAAAATTAATTGTTTTAATAATCAACAATGACAATTTAATTGCTTTAAATTGAAAAATAGAAATTTGTAATCTATTCCAGGAAAATCCAATCACTTCATTCATTGTTTTATGGAGGGAGTTTCTACAAAGAGGTTGAAGTACTTTACAAATAAACATCAATTTATTTGCATGACTTTCCACTGATGTATCATAATAATTGTTTAAAGTTAGATGCACACATAGAAGCTTGTATAATAAATATGTTTTTATAAAAATGACTTGACAAGATTTAAATATTCTTTATGTGTTCCAACTTCATTGGTTCTTCCTCAACTGTACTTAGCCCTCCAAACTTATCTATTTATTATATCGATTAACTTTTAATATCGCAAAGTTCAGTAACAACGAGCACATATTCATATTGAATTTGTGATTATAAAATATTGGACATCGAAAACATAGAGATTTTTAAAAAGATACAAATATATGTAATAAAATATTTAAACTATCTTTTAAGGTTTTTAGGTTGTTGCATATGAGCATTTGTTGTACATAGTTTAATACTTGCTTTGACAATTAAAAATCAATCAATTTAGTACCGACATTTATTAAAGCTTTCAATTTTCTATCTGTAATTACATGGTTCGACCCCGACCCATGTACTCAAGGTAAATGCCTTCCGAGCAGCCCGATAGTAAACATGCCTCACTAAACTCTTTGGTTATTAATACATAGAATTAGATCTTTGCTATTTTCAACATTTAATGTTGTTTTTATAAATATTTTGTTTCGATTTTTTTTTTTTTTCATATATTTTCCAAGCAACCTGCATTAAATATGATTAAATTGTGCTGGATTTTCCAATTATATTTAGAAACTTGATCTGCCTCGTAACATTCACTCGGATGTACAATAGATTTTTGTGCGTATTTAATTTGAATCCTAAGGTACTGGTATTTAATATATCCATATAAAAACTGGAACAATACGCAATGATTTTCTTGTTAAAAATCTCAAGAATTTCCTTCTTTTTTGTTTTGCATTTGTTATGTGGTATGCGTTGGCTACAATTGTGGCTGTTTTGCTATTTATTTGCAGATCGTTAGCCAGAACATTGTGAAATGTGTAACAAGACGAAACATAAGTTATATAGCTGTATTCATTTCAATTTGGTTTACACTGTTTATTTTCCTTCACTAACCATTCCAGATGTTAGAAGCTACATATGTACATACATATTTCCTTGTCGTTGTCACACGCATCCAAATGTTCTGTCTAATACACATGTTTAACATTTGCTAGTATGTATGTATGTATGTATGTATATATTATAATTAGTTTTGCTTTTCTTTTGGATTTCTTAATAATTGTAATAAAAAAAGTGCCAGCCCTGTGGGACCATCAAAACCTTTGCGGTTAGATACATATATGTATTTTGTTAAGTTGCAGAGAAATAGTAATTACAAAAAATTGACATGCGAATACATGTCGCTGTTATTTTGTCTTTTTCATATCATATTGATTATCACAAACAATTATAAAGTTTAAATTTTAGTAATAAGTTATGCATATGCAGTTGCGTACAAAATTTTAGTATTCTAGTTAATTGTTTTGTTTTGTTTTGTTGTTTGTTTGTGTTGCTTCTTCTTGTTGGTTTCACACATTTTATAAGAAATGTGTGACAAATTTGATTTGTTTCCAAATTACAAAAATTTTGTTTAGCCCTTGTGGACTAACATCTGGCTGCTAACCAGATCTTCCAAAAATTACAATATGTAGTTTTCGGGGGAACACAATGTTACCAATGTTAACGTTCAAAATATGCTTCACATTAAAAAAGCCCAATCAAAATGTTTAAGGTAACCAATCGTTGGTTACTCGAACTGACCAAAATCTAGACAAAATCAAGCTCCAAGCCGGGCTCAATGTCGACTGCAACGGCATTGTCTGCAGGGAATTGAACCTCATCCATCTCCTTACGCGCTTTATCCTTGGACTTGTCCTTGAACGCAGCAAAGCCCAGTTTCTTGAGCGCCTTACTGCTGCGTCCTGAGGACTGTCCCAACTGCTCGAATCAGGAATCCACCAGTACATGCCAGCGCGCCAGCATCTCTCCCTTGGGCATTTCGCAGACATCGGCCCAATGCGCACATTCCTCCGGTCCTGATGAGTTTAGGCCCAAGCTAAACCAACCGACCATCTCGTTCTTCTTCATGTGCCTTTTGGCATACACCGAGATCATGAGCGTCACATCGTTCAGCTGGAACAGCGCCACTTGGAATGCAAAGGTCTCTTTGAATAACGGATTGGGGCCTCTTCGTATTGACGTTTTGGCGCGCGAAATCTCCTGACCAATGCTGCTAACCATACACAGCTTGACATATGTGTCCGGCGCCTTGTTTAGCATTAGGCTGCGAAACTGGCTACCCTTGATAATCTCCACACTGAGTCGACCCGTGACACCGTTGTAGCTGAGACCCAAAAGCAGCTCTGAGACACCTCCATGCTGCATGGAGGATGTGGAGCCGGCACTGTCCGATCTGGCCAAGCTCAACAGGTCGCTTGTTGATCCCAAAAGCGATGTTGTGTTGCGTGGCTCCAGCGGCAGCCACAGATTAGTCTCTAGCTCCAAGTCGACAGTAGCAAAACTTACATAGGCCTCGCCAATGAGGCGCTCCTTACGCAGCCGCTCACATCCATACAGACGCACCCGAAGGCCCATGTTATTGACATCCTCGGGATTTACACGATGCAGCAGAAAACTTTCCATATACTGTGGATTCTCGCCACTGCGTATCTTAGTCTTGTGCTTTTGCTTTTTGTTGGGCAGCATCAGAAGGCGCACCTAAAAAAAAACACTTGATATTTGGGCTTGATTTCTAGCCGAATTAATTACCCACCTGGGTGTGCGTCTGCTGGCCATTGCCCAGTGGTGGCAGGGATCTTGCCTGCATCACGTGAACTGTCATTTTACGCATGGGCGCATCGTACAGCAAGGACATCTCCAGCTCGATGGGTCCACGCGGAGCTGTGCTCTTTGGATCGCTGACCAGGATATCATCGGACTTAATAGAACGCAAGTCGCTGGTATCGAAAAGAGGTTCCTATAAGAGAATTTTACACAATTAACAAATATGTTCTGGCATCATTGTTATACCCTCAAAGAGGATATTTTCAACTTGGCAATAAATGTGTAACCAATTCAAGGATAATTCTTCGAACCTGTAAGGTATATATACTATTGATCAAGACGACCAGTTCGCTTTGTCCGTCTGAGTGTCTAGTGAATGTTAAAGCTCGGAGTCGACCGCTACGGATCGCAATCCAAGGAACGTTTGGTCGAAAGCAGAGCATTCGTATGAAAAACATTTGTCTCTTTAAGAAATCTGAGCCAAACCAAATAGGGGAAAAATCGGGTATGAAAAGTCTACTATGTGACAACTATATCTCTGCAAGGGTATTGAATCTTCGGCATTCCAATAATATTAAACTTACATCATCGTTGTTGTTGTTGTTGTTGTTGTTGCTGCTGTTGGTTGTGGTATTGTTGTTGTTGCTGTTGTTGTTGTTGTTGCAGCTCTGATTGTAGTTATTGTTTGCAGTGATGTTATTGTTGTTGTTAGTTAAGCTAGCAATTGGCACCACCACCACGCTATCCCTCTCCCTCTCGGGCTTTGGTGGCTGCACGTCGACTTTGTGCTGATATTTCTGTGACTTGGCATAGGAATTTCGCAGTGATGCTACCGGAACAGCTGTGAATGGGACGTATATAATGTGCATATATTGTATGTGCATCCATCTGAATTATAATCACTTATTTGTACCTCTGCTTTCGCCTGTCAAAATGCCAGTGTGACTGTCAACAGACGCCTCGATGGAATCATTGGAGCTGCACTCGCTATGCGATGAAGGAATGCCGACCTTGCCCCGTTCGGCAATTGCCAAAGGGTCACGTGTCACTGTGACCCTTTGCAGGTCAGCTTGATGATAATTGAAATTGTGGCCTGTCAATGGATTCCTTTGGTCAATGCCCATGCCATAGCCGATAAATTTGCCATTTGGTAGAAGGTTATTATTCTGCTGATGCCAGCGAAGGCGTCGCAGCATATCCTCCTCAGAGTCGGAGCTGGTGTTCTCATAGCGACGTTTGCGTGCTGAATAGGCAATTGTTTTGAAATTGAATTAATCCTATGGTGCTCCTCTAATAAAGCACTTACTAATCTTCTGCACACACTTGGCCGCCAAGTGTCGCTCGTCACAGCAGTTGATGCCATGGCGATGATGAAAGCAGCATCTGCGACTTATGTAGAGGAACAGCAGGAGCAGCAGCACTAATACGCCAAAAAATGCACCCAGCAGAGTTGTGACCTCAACAGTACCTGCAACAATACACAAACATTTATTTATTAAAAACCAAAAATGCAGTAAAAACAAACCACATTCATCAGCACATGAAAAGGCAACAAATGGAAACCGACGTGCGCATATCGGAGACCTACCCCACCATACCACTCGTTCAGCCAGTAAATAACAAATGAAACTTGACATTGACACATTGACTTACCCAATGAAGCAGTGCTATCCACACCAGATGCAACAATCATGTTGGTTCATGCGTGGGATCGTGTTTAAATTAAAAGCAACCTTTTAATTAATTTCTAAAATGCTTTAATCATATATGTGTAGCTTATACAAAAATGGCGTTTGATTTCTATTGAACAAATTTAAGAAAAGCTCATCAAATGACAGCACAGAGTGTACCACGGTAAAAATTTAATCGATTTTTCACAGGACAATGACTGTTTTGCTCGACAATTTCTATATGACAGCAACCGAAATTAAATGCTCAAATTCAATTAATTACTGTAATTAGTTTTCGAAATGCTACGTTTTAAAAACAATTTAGTTACACTATTAATAACAATTTTTTACAACGTCAAATCGGACTTTTACAATTAAAATAATAGGTTTGGTTTAATATAAACATTTTTCTCCGCGTCAACGGGTCGTGCGGCACCGACTGTAGTAAATTTTCTAATAATTTTACACTGGCTCTTCGAGCATTTGTAATATTTTCTCACGTATTGCAATCACGTTAGCAAATATACGTGAAAGGATTTGAAAGCTTTCCCCCATATCCTTTGTGTGTGTATAAGTAACAGTAAAAGCTTTAGTTGCTCAAGTGTCATGTCCAAACAACTGTTGCTTTGTTACAAATAATTTCGGCTATTAACTTAAACAATAAATTTTAAAAGAACACAATAACTTAATTTACAAAAAGGCATTTGATGATTCTTTTAAAACGGTCGTTTAAGCGCAATTTTTACCGTTTTATATATCGATGTCCGTGTGCGACGATTTATCGATGAATTGCTACCATCGCCATATCGATAGGAACCAACGGTGTGTTGGACAAGTAAGGTCGCTGCGAGGGGTAACCTCTTTTTGTGTCCAGCTGAAAACGATTTAAAACATGAAAAAATGGCAAAGAATAAATCAACGGTGTATTTAGGCTACGATGATGAAGAAATTACGGCCAAGCAGGCTGCATTACTCAATAGCTGCACAAATAAAATAGGTGGAGAACCCGTAAGTACAAGCGCTGAGCGATTTTGTAGTTCCTTTCACAGGATTCTGAGAAATACGAGTGAAAGTGAATTTCTTATTTGAAAAAAAGGACCTATATTTACCTATGAATATACGGGTATATTTATGTTATGCGACATCATTCACACCGGACTTACATTTTGACCCATTTAGTTGGATCCATAATTATTCTGTGGCTGCTCACTTGGCAATCCTTGTAGGTTGTCACAGCTATGCAAATGTCGCTCGTCCTGCACACAGACATAAGCAGCATGCAGATAAATACATACATACATTCATACGTAGCGAAGCACATGCCGAGACAGCACATAATTAAAATTGATTTTTTACCAATAGAATTGGCCGCGACATGAAGTTACCGTGCCCGCCTGCCCACTGTGCGGCATGGTACGTCCTTTGATTGTCCAGATGTATGCGCCCCTGGACCGTTCGCAATTTCATCGCAATCTCTATGTATTTGCCTGCGTGAGTCCAGCTTGTTCGCAGAACCAGAAGAGTTGGGTATGCGTGCGCACTCAGCATTTGGATAATCAGTTTGATGTCATCAGCGAGCAGTCGCCCAAGTTGGTCAGCAAGCTAAACAAGAAGAAGAACAAGTCAAGTGCCTCGCCAAAGGTGAACTGGTGTAGCGGAGCTGATGACTGGGGCTGGGGCGAACCGGAAATCGTGGACGAGGCCATGGACCAGACGGCAGATGATGAGCAGAACGAGCGCAATGGCAATGTTAGGCCAAGTGCCTTGCAATATGAGAAGGCCGATGATGATATCGAGATCTCAGGAACTGGGGCGCAAGATGCAGCCAAGTTGGGCGAGGATGATGATGACGATGAGAGTACCTCTCTTGAAAATGATTTGGTCTGCGGGTTTGGTCAAATTGATATGAACTCACCAGAGAAAGCTGGCGAGGATCCGAATGCCAATTGTGCTGCTGCAATTGTGGCTACAGCAAGTGGCGATGTAGCCGGCGCAGGTGCCACGGCATTGATATGCGCGGAAATCGAGGGACCCGAAACGGATGTTGTGCTAGTTGATACACCAAAGAAACCAGAAAGAGATCTTATTGCGCTGCTGAAGCATACCTCGTTGCCAGCCACCCTGGGACCGCTGTCCCAGATCAAGGACCTCACGCTAAAGCCCATTTACATTGCTGTGGATGTGGAGACCAATGCGAAGCAGGAGCAGTATGAGAACTATGGTGGTCTACTTTCAATGGATCACATACGCGATTTATATCAAGAGTACAAGCTGCAGGATGAGAATCCAGCGCGTTCGCCAATTGCCGACGCCGCATCAGCTGCGGGCGGCAGTGAGGCGTGCGAAGAGCAGGAGGCGTACGAGAAGGCGCTGCCCGCCCATGGTGATGTGGTGTTTCACAATTTTATCACAACTATACAGCAAAATCCAGGCCAGATATTGAGGTATATATAGAATGCTTAAAGTAGGCGTGTGCTAAATTTACTAAATTCTTTGCAGATATTCCCGTGATGCATATCCATTGTTGGTGGCACCGCTTAACGAGCCGCTGCCAAAGTGTCAAAATTGCAAGGGTGAAACCATATGTGAGGTGCAGCTGCTGCCCACGCTAATCCCAAAGCTGCGATTCCAACTGAATTCCTGCAATGCGCCAATCGAATATGGCAATGTGTTAGTTTTTACTTGCCTCAAGAGCTGCTGGGATACGCCCGATCAGATGCGCTATGAGCACGTAGTGGTGCAGTCCGAAACATAGATCAATTATGCAGCCTGTCCGAAAAACGATAACAATTTATTTCAATTGCGAATTGCATTAGCTTAGATAATGAAAAGCTAAGCTTCTTCACTTATCCTAGGATGATTTTATGCTCTAGTTGTTAAGAACGTTGTACGCTTTTAGACAGCAAATGCCGAATAATCGCATAGTTGCTAACGACTCGTTATTTCCATTCACACTAAAAACTTTTAATTAGAGAAACGCTATGCAATTTGTTTTATTAACATGGTCGCCAGTCAAAGAAAAATTTTAAGTCAGCGGCGCATCTGCATCCAGATGATAGCTCTTAACGGCGGAGAACCACAGCGGCGGATACTTGGCAGCAGTTAATTCGAACTCAGAACTCGTCTCCACCTTGTTACGCTGCTGCACCAGGGTGTAATTGGACCACACCAACTGGGCAAATCGTCGCTTGGGTGAGTTCATGATACGCAGCTCTATCACATATTGCGTATTGTTTCCTTCCTCTTCTCCGGGCAAAAGGCTGCCACGCCGATGTCGCTGTGCTGTGGCTCTCGCTTGCTGCGTTTTCTGCAGCACCAGGGTGACAGTGCTTCCAAATAGTCGATAGCGACCGCGCAGTACATCAGGACGTGTATGATATATTTGTTTCAGTTTATTAACACCCTGCGCAGGCTCATCGGCATTGGTCATCATGAGCACCTTGCCATCGGGCAGAAAGCGTATATAACGATAATATTCAACTAGCTGAAGTGGCCTATAAAACTGATCCTGGAAACTATTTTCGCCCATGCGCAAGTAGGTTGTTTTGCTTATGTAGCAGCCATTGAAGAGCACACGTTCACGACGTATAAACATGTCTCGCCAGGTCTCGTAGCATGCACCACCATCCTTAGCATCCAAGCTGCCCACATTGTTACCCCATACTCTGGCAGATAAATAAATTATTTAACTTTTGATGTGATGACGAAAATCCTTGTTACTCACTTCACGCAAGCCAAACGCCACAGCTCCTCGTCACGTCCATACACATAGAAGCCCTTGCATACGGCCGAGAACTGTTCCAGGGAGCGCATATCCAGCTGCGAGGACACCACCCAGCGCAGTATATGTAGTAGAATCTCGGCTGGTAGATCGGATATATGTAAGTTGCTTCCTGTCGTCAGAACATTCGTATCACGACTGTTTATTAAGATTTTGCCACCGTAGATTTCCTCGCAGCAAAGATCGCGTTGAAACTTTTCGTACAGGCCATCAATTGGTACGACATCCTCTTTAGCCTCTGTCTCGTGCAGATCGAGATTCTTGCTAAAATTGCTCAGCAGATTGTGGTACGTTTTGTTGACATCGTTTTTCAAATTTTGCTGCTCATAAAACTTAAACTCAATATCAGGTACAATTTGGGTGGCCTTGCGGTAGTAGGCCAGAGCATCATACACTTTGCCCCGCTGCTCCAGCTCAACGGCAGTGCGATATAAACTCTGAGCCTTGGTCTCTGCATCAATGTCTTCAAATCCTGCCGGCTGCTCTTCCGCTTCGGCCGGCTTACGCGAGGCTTCGTGTTGACCTTGTAGCTCGCGCTGCCAATTCACGCGGAATTCGTCGAGCGCTCGGCTTTGATAATCGGATGAAGTGTCCGGGTCGGCCATATCCAAGCCGCTATCCGACATTGAGTTGTCCAATAGGGGCGAAATATCTGGTGAAATGTGCATGAGTTATGGGCGCTTATCTTATCTAACGCAGTTTCTAACCTGTAATTACAATTTAGTTTTCTAGTAACTCGCTCGATCCAGCTTTATATATATGTCCGTGTAAAAATCAAAAGCGTTAGACACTATAATAAATGGGCGTGCGTATTGTTGATAACGGCCACACGTTATTCTACCCATGGACTTTAAAGTGGTTTTCCGCTGCATGGACAATATATCAGGCAGTCGAATTATTTGGCACAAAAGCCCCACTAGCCGAATATTTATAGAATAAATATTTTGCTGCGCAATGTTTTTCTTGCTAGTATCGATACTTTTGTTGACACAACGACTTTTGCAACATGTGTTACAAAAAGTGGTACTTTATTTATTTAATGGTACAAAGTACAAATTGGTTATATTTTTAACTTTAGAATGTGTCAACGCTTTCGTATTTTGAATCACGTATTTTCTAAAAAGTTTATAGAGAGCCAATATTGCACTTGTTTTGATTTTATAGAATTAAACACTAAAAAACTCACATC